TAGTATAGAATTAATTTAAATTAGAATTAATTTATTTTAACATACATCCAGATATACTAAATTCAAAGAAAAAAAAAACACCACATTCATAAACCTAAAGGTCTATTCTTCTCCAAAAATAATAATTATGTATTTATATGATTTCACCTAAATCAAATCAAGATTAATATTACCAAAAAATATTTCATAATTGTAACATAAAATTCATCTTATAGAAAAGAGAATGACATAAGTTCTGTGAAATTAACTTACTGCTCTATACCAAACCTTACAACTGTTTAATACAAAAAAAAATAAGTGGGACCAATTAGTTTTACGTTGACAAGATGTAGTACAAATAAAAGCATATTATTTTATAACTAATATTTATCCAGCACCTGCAAGCTACAAGACAATAATAGAAATGGAAGGAATATGGAAGCTTCAGAACCCTTGATGCTTTATGGCCAATTGAATATTCTAAAAATTACATGTAGTACTATTTTAACTATTTGTAATGAGTCTTAAGAATCTGTGCAAGAAATTAAATTTTTTTATTTGTTATAACAGATCTCATGTTCAAAATTTTAATTTTCCACTAGTCCTAGAAAGCAGATTTTTTCATTTACTTCTTTCCTTTTTTTTGGGTACAGTATATTCTTTCTAACCTTTTTGGAAGCAAATTTGATAAAAAGTTCCAATATCTAAATAAAATTATAAACCAATCCTTTAAGTCCATTAAATGTGTTTATCTTGCTGGTCATTATAAACATGCACTTCATGTTTGTCATTTTCTCTACCCCTAACTGCATACCCATTCGTCCAACTTGGCTGACTTCATAACCACCATAAAAAATACAAAATAAAGTTAAATTATCTGTTTTTCTTTCTAGAATGACTGCAAATTGTAACATGAAACTACAACTGTTTATCCTAAATAGCTTAAAGCTTGTAACAGTCTACATCTGTTTATAATTAGTTTTATTGCCTTCTGAACCATGACTAATTAATAATCCCACCATATTAAATATTATAGTGAGTAACTTACTTTAAATTTTGTACTTCTCAGAAGGTGGTAAATAAGTTATATAATATTAAAGTGTAATTCATTAACTATATTTTAATGACAAGTATATTTGTATACAACAATAATAATAAAGCAGTTTAATTAGATTTTTAATTCAACTCTAAAATGTCGTGACATGTGCACTTTGACCTACCCATAGTGAAAGGGTTAATAGTTATGTTGTTTCTAAGTGAAAGATATCAATTTACATTGTGACATCACATTATGTACATCAAACCATGTTCTTAAATGTATTATTTCCCATCAATATATTCAATACGAATTTAGTTCTGTTTATCTTTGGGAAATGAAAAAAACAGTTCCATAAAATTATAAAACATTTCAAAATCTTACTTACAAAAATGTTCCCTTATCAAAATAAAAGAAACTTCAAACAAGTGTAGTCAATATTTAATGCAGAAATCACTCTCATTCACATGTGGCTATCACACTAGGTATTTTGGTTAGATTCAAATACTTAACCAGTTAAAATATAGATTTTTTTTTCCAATAATCTTATTCCTTGCTATCTGAGAAACCAAGAATAGTAAACTATACTGTTTGAAATATTAACAGCTATTATATGGTATTCTACAAAATTATTAAAATATGGAAAGAAAAATACTGTTATAATAAAATAATAGGAATACAATTCAGGTTTAAGTAGAAAAGAAAATTAACACTATATACATTAATTTCACGAGACTTACTACTACATTCTCTTTCTCCTTTAATGGTGTCACATTTATATAAAATCCAATCTTGTTGGATTTTCGAAAAGAAATAACCCTGTAAAATACAATAGACGAAGATTAGAGAACTATATTTGAAAACTTTTGATATGAACAAAATACAGATTGCACTAGTGACAAATATATTTTTTAAATACCTTGACTGATATTATTTTCTCTCAAAACTAATAGAAAAGTTACTTGCAGCATACCAACCCTTTATAACATTTTCTAAATAAATTTACTTTTCACTTACATCTTAAGCTTTAATATCCGATCTAGTCTCTAAATAACACTGCTCTCTAAATATCAAATGTAATGTACGGTTAACTGACACATAATACATAAATTATTTCTTGCTTTACTGGCTGGAATTTTATAATAATTCACCTTTTCATTGTCGTTAAAATGAAAGTACAGGGATCAAGCAGATTACACACACTTCTCCATCACAAACAGACTTCTAGTCACTAAATGTTATTTTATAATTTTAGCGGATAGACCATCGTGACCACTATTTTCACTTAACTGTTAGTAAAACTAATTATAAATTGAACAAACAATTCTCACAAAATAAGAAAAAATAGTGAATCACTACTTTACTAAGATTAGAGTGCTGTTTTCTTTACAGCTTCAAAGCCTACTACTGAACATAATTAATGATAAATAGGCAAGTGAAAATTACAACATTTGCCATATTGTATGGTATTACACTATAGAAGTGCCAAACTTTTAAACTCACTTCTATAAAGAGAGATATTTTGTCAAGCTACAATTTATATGCATTTGTTATTCGAGAATAATAACTGAAATATACCACACAAATTAATCACAAAACTTATTTAATGTATTAGAAGTGAACTTGATTAGCTTTATAGTACTATAATAACTTATTTTAGGGAAAGTCAAATACTTCAGTATAACAAAATTTAAAAAGTGAAAAACACTACTGCTACATTGTACTTGAAATATTCTTCTACCTTGTGATAGAAAGCTATCATTAAAAATAATAATTCTGCTAAAAATGATACAAAATAAAATGTTAAATTTCCTTGCTAAATAAACTGCCCATTGCCACTTTGAGGTAGCTTAAAAGTTTATAAGAAAAACTACTTAGTACAACAATAAACCAAATATAAATCTACTAAAGAGAGTTAAAATGTTTAAAAGATCTTAGACATCCACCCTGAACTTTTTAAAAACTGTGTGAATAGTAAAATAACATAAGTAACAAAGAAATGGCTGTAAGGAAATAACAATTAAGTGGTCAGCATTTTTGACAAGTTACTTTTACCAGGCTCTGATGATGATCATTTGGCCAAAATGTTCATCACTTAATACTATCCCTTTAGTTATTTAACCATGTTTGTGTATTTTAAATTACCATACTGAACTTAAAGTCACCAAGTAGAATCTACAGTAAAATGTAAAGATTCTTGTTCTTTATTTGGAAGTTTTAAGTTTTCTAAAACCATATACTTATAAAAAGGGAAAACAGCCCTTTCAATTTCAGTTTATTACTTTGGATCATCTTTTGCTGATTGGGCATCATTAAGATCATCAAACTCTGCTGTATCATCTCTGGCTGTTACTACTAGTTGAGTAGAAGGAAGCACTACCTGAAATAAGTAAGAAAGAGATAACACACATGTACATAATTGACTACTAGAGTAAGAAAAAATTTACTTAGTTTTAAAATGTCAATTGATGTAGAAAATAAAAATTTTATGAATTAATAAAATTACTTTTTTCTCTCTTCCTCAACAGCTTTTAGTCACAGTTGACATTTCTTCTCACAATGATTCTCATAGTAATAGTAACTTAGAAAGTTTGATCGTATATTGCCTACTCGTAGCTTATAAATTTCTGTTAAACTATGTGTCATGGACAAATTTCTACATCTTAAAGACACTTCCTACTAGACCTCAACAGGTAAAGAAAAGGAAACTCTTTTTGCCAGAAAAGCTTAATTTTATGGACTGAATTTTTAATTTCTAAATAGTACTGAAAAAATGGAACAAAAGTGTAAAAAGCTTGACCTTATGGATGGAACTGTTAAGTATTAAATAGTATTGGAAGAATAGGAGCTTTAAGCCTATTAATTTGGTCCAGTAATATGTTATTTTTCTAAAGGAAAAACAAACTTAACTAACACTTCAGTGATGTTGATAACAGCATCCTCTCAAAAGTAATCTAAGCAGCCTTAATGACTTAATCAGGAGGAAAACCTTAAGTGCATGGCACCACTATTTCATATAATTAGCATTTCTACCCAACACAAAATACTAAATTCGTTCTACGATTAACAATTACATACACATAAGCACCTGTTTCTAATCTACTTCTCTTCTTAGAGTAAGACTAAAAAATACCTTAAGTTTACTGGAAGCATGCTCTTGCACAACAAAAAATGAGTGTATTTAACTAAAGTCAATTTAATTCACTAGAGTGTAATTTTGTTCCTATGAACTTCAGGCTGTTGCTAACAGAGTATTTAACCAAGTTATTTTCTACTTTTATTTCCTTCATATATTTACCTTAAATCTTAACCATTCTCCAAATAAATAAATGTGTTTGACTATATCCATCAGCATACTTCTTAGGATATTTGTTTACATATATACAACTAAATGCACGAACTCTGAAAAAAGCGACACCACCAAGACTTTTCTTAACTTTGTTATGTTAATCTTTGTGATGCTATTAATGACAAAAGTAACTACTGAACAATTAATTACACTCAAGGTGCATGTTCAACATTTTCATGCTCTAGACCAAAGTTCTATAAATTTTTTTTTTTGCTTAGTTGAAGAAGCAAAAATTTTATATACATGACTAGTAGAAACTTTTTTTTTTCACCTTTAATCTACAGTGGACAGTAAAATTAATTCATACAATTTCACTATACACTACTACTTCAATATAAGTAAGCTTAACTAAACTCTAGTTTGTTAGGCTCTCTAAGTACCAATGCTAAACCTGAAGGCCTTATAAACCATGGACAAGTACAGGTTATTTTGAACTTTTAGATTGAAAAGTCATTAAAACCGATTTAAACATTAAGTGAATTTCAGCAACTTATTACTGAACAAAAAATAGCAATCAATAATTTTCTTCATTACTCGCAAAGTGTAAGTTTGCAAAACTAATATTTGTTCTCATAAGTCTTTTTGAAAATTAAACTATATTAGAGACTTAACAACAAAATTCATTTTCTCACCTTGGAATTGAACAAAGGTTCCTCTTCAGTGTTCTCACATGGTAGCAGAGTCACATGAGCTGGATAAGGAGTAGGGTTACACAAAGTAACTTCTATTTTACATTCCTAGAAAAATAAGATGAAAAAATTTACACGTAAATTTTCCTTTAGTTTCATGAATTTAAAGAACAAAATATCTAAATGAAATATAGTTAGAGACCGTTTATTATTTTTTTCAAGAACTCTAATTCTCACTCAGTCTTTTCAATGCACCTAAGGAAAATTTATTGATACAACAGTCAGTTTTTTAAGCTAGTTTAGTGAAGGATAGCAAAGGCTTAGAAGGATAGGACCAAGGTCAATAATTTGGACTTATATGGAACACTAAAACATTATCTACCACAAAAAAAACTTGTGTATTATCATTTCAGCTGCACTCACAGCTAGAGTTGGGCAATTAATTTGACTGATCAAAATTCAAGTTTTTGACTATACAGTAATTAAAATTGATTAATGTCACAAAAATAAAAACTAATTAAAATTACTGTTTCTGATGAAAACTGTTTTCAATTATAATACTACCCTGTACTTGAAATATTGCCATTGTGAGTTTTTGTTATTATTTTCAATTCTAGAGTATTCAGCTTAAAAAGTATCACAAATCATGAAAATAATCAACTGAATTGGGTTTCCAGTTATTACTATCTTTGATTATTGCATTTATCCAAGTAATCAAAATATTACTGTTATGTTCTTTAGTTGTTAAGCACAAAGCTACACAACAGGCAATCTGTGCTCTGCCCATTGTGGGCATCAAAAGCTGATTTTCAGTGCCAGAAGTTTCTTTTTTAAATTAATGCAGGGAGGGAGGAGGTCTGCCTATCATTTGAGTGTTTTAGGTCCTATTTCTGTTGCCACTAAAGTTGTTTACACTTTCAGCCATGGGTAAATTTGTTACCTTGTTTTTTTTGTCATGACAAAGCTACATAGACTACATATGTTGCCAATTTAAATTTGAATTGCCAACTAGAGGGCAGCACCTACAGCCAACTATTTGACTACTTAAGTGTTAAATAAAGTGTTAATTTACTGATTCTTCTAAACTATGTTATGTTTCTAATTTATAATTATGTAATTGTATTCATTAATATTGAATAATGTGCAAAATCTCTATTTACATTGTGCTACATTGTAATTTATAGCCTGTGTAATTTTATTCTTTAGTGATCAATAAATCATAAATTTACATTATTCATACTTTGTACATGTGATCTTTGTACCAATACACTTCCTATCTCCTGAATTTGCATTCTGGTAGAAGATATGACAGGCACTATGACATGCTGAGAACAAGACAAACACTCGTGAAGCAGTATTCTCTATCCATTCAGTCATAACAGCCTTTTAACCATGTGATAAATTACAAATGTAAGTATATTAATCAATTTTTTATAAACAATAACAAGATCAGTCAATTTATACTTACAAACTTTAATACTGTATTAACCATTTTATTACGGTAACAAAATGGAAACACAACCTATAAATTTGCTTCTACATTGTACTTTATACCATATATTACAATATAAAAACATATTCCTATATATAGGCTTACTGCAGTATAGCCTTTGTGATGTCTATAGAAATAAAACTTTTGTAGTAACTCTTCTAACTCTGAAAAAAAAAAGGCTCAAACCATAAAATTTTTATGCCTCTGCTTTCATAAATGCCAACAAATGTAACTCAATATCTTTATGTTTAAGAAATATGTAGAAATAGGATATTGCTGTTTCCATACAATAAATTGTTGGCTCTCTTCACACTAGAATATTGTTGTGTACAAAATAATGACTAATTTCATACTCATAATAATCTCACTATCTTCTATCTTTAACAAGTGAAAGATACACCTAAAGTACTCACACGCTTCATTGCCTAAATATAGTTCTATAAATTCTGTATACCACCACATTACTGACTGGCTCCATATAGTTGTGTTCATATGAAATTGTAAACTTGGTCCTAAGAGCTACGTGTATGTGATTTATGTCAACTTGTACCTACTAGTAATCTCACTAGTTACTATCATATTCAGTATATTTCTGAATTTTTAACCAATGTCATAAAATACCTCATCATTTAAATAACATAGTGTTCTTCTGAATGAACTTGAAAACCTTTTTGAGACATTACTTTATAATAAATTAATAATCATTATTATTTTAAAAAGTCACCCATGTAAAAGATTTTAACAAACACAATTACTTTTGTCAACAGGCCTATATGAAGTGCCATTTAACTGAATGTGTATTTCATTGTTGGAAATAAAATTGTTTTCCAAAACACATTCAAGAACACACATAATTTGACCAATACCAATGTCCATAGAAAAAAATTAAACATCAGAACTTGCTAGATGAAGTATTTATTTTAAACACCAACAACAACAAAATTGCCAGAAAGGATATTCAATTCCCAGTATTTTTTATACTTGAAAAAGAGTTTAAAACAAGTACTTCATCTAGAGAGGTCTAAAATTTATTTTTTCTATAAACACCAGTATTATTGATCAAATCTCATATATTCTTACACATTTTGAAAAATAATTCTATTTCCAACAATGAAAGATGTATTCAGATATTAACCAACACCTAATGTAGTCACTGGTCAAAATCAGTTGTGTTTTTAAAATATTTTATTTTTAGGGTAAAGTTTATTTAATCAACAAATTTAGTTTTAGTATAGAAGTTCTGTGAAAACATAAAAGGCGAAACCCACTGAATACCATTAAACTTATCTTCAGCTTGTTAGAGGATTTGTAATATTCTGTGTATCTGATGGGTTTTGTTGTGCAACACACTAGAATTAAAGTAACTTAATCCTAAATTATTGTACCTAAAGACAGAGTTTCCTCTGGTTTTTCTTTTCTTAATCAAATGAACCTTCTTGACAAATTTTAAGATCAATTTTATATGTTAATTCTTAATTCTATTTCAACAATTTTAGCTTAAAAATATTTTATAACCAACATTTCGTAATTTTTTAGCATTTACTTAGTATGATTCATGAAGAAAACAAAAAAAAAATGTTCTAATTTACATTTCTGCGCAGCTGTGCCAGTCCAAAAAATAACTATTTTTGCTAAGAACTTAGCACCCCTTGAACATACATTATCCAGTTTGCCACCTTTTTACAATGTCACATCAAGTGGCTTGATCATTTATTAATGAAACACAGCTTTACAAACAGCTATAAAGAAAATTTAAATGTGATTGAATAGAGCAAGAATTAGATTTTTCATGTCATAGTAAATACAGGGGTTTAAGTAGTAGTTTGTAATCCACATGAAAGTGTTGGTGTGTTAAATTATATTTATTGTTTTACTCATAATACCAAATTATATCTGTCTGAAAGCTAAAGAAAGTTTCTAAGATAAATATATTTAGGGTAAGCTTTGATTAGGACAAGTGGGTATAGTGATTGCCAAATTTTCTGACAAATTAAAGTACTATTTATTAAATACTGTTTTATCTTTATAGTATTCAAATGGTGACAACATGATTGTCTCATCACTAGCAATTCTCCAAATAGTATTGTTTAGATTATCTTTAAAAAAAAAAGTGCCTAAAGTTTCTGCCATTTTATAAGTCAACTCAAGTTATGTGAGAATAATCAGTGTTTTTTTTATATACTAAGTGATTAGTTGAATTAACTGATTAACAAGTTCCACCAATCACTCAGCTCTACTCATGGCTATTTTGAATAAATTGCTATTAAAATTAAAGTAAGAAAATTATTCTTAACCAGATTAAAATTGGATATATATACACACAATGTTATTATTTTAAGCAAATGCCTGTTAATATTAACTACAACCCTCTTCAGATGCTACGTAAGTAAAAACAGGTAAGCCTGGCCAACTGCTAAAATATTTTCTAATATAATAGAAAAAATTAAGATGTTTTGCTTATTAAAGATATTACTTTTATAATTCATGTTGTTGCTTAATAATCAACATCTCAAGAACCTTTTAATGACAGAAAATCTATAACTTTGTATGACATTAAATGCAATATGCTTAGAGAAGTAATCTCTTATTATAATGTAAGAAGCCAATATTTAGTAGGCTTTCAGTTTAACAGCTTGTCACTTACCCCAATAAGATCAATTTCCATGTCTTAGTATTTTATTCATTTTTAAGAAATTACATACTCTATAAAATTTTTATTTTAATGGACATGATTAAGCATTCTTCAGAACATTAGGGACATCACTATGTAACTTGATGAAAGTGTGTCTTACCTCATTCAATTTCAGTACAGGTATAGTCTTCAGTCGAACCTCAGGAATGTGGTAGCTGTTGAAAATGAATATGTGTATATCACGTCTCAAACAATAATAGTAAGATTCAATTTTGCAAAAGAATTTTATGAAACCCAAGTTTAACACGTTTCATTCCAGAAGTTGCAACGCAAGCACAAACTTACAAGTATAGACAACTTGTGGATGATGTACAACTTATTGAGTAAACTTCCCAGCTTCACACTTCCAATGTTATGACCATAATAACAGTATCACAATATGATAATTTTTGAAGCAAGAACGTACACAACATTTACTCACAAATTAAAAAACACACCTCAATGATGAATAGGCAACAGAAAAGTAACCATTCAACCTCTACATACTTTCTATTTGAATTTTTTAAATACTCATTTCATTTGATCAAAAAAAAAAAGGAGTGAAATATTTTTTTTACAAAAGTTTTAATTGTATATTTTAAGTATACATGATTTACAGCAATCAAGCAGAAAAAAGAATATTTGACAACCCAAAGATTCAATTGATACTTACTGATATAGCTTTGTTGATAAATATAAGTCAAAATTATTAGACAAAAATCACAATTCTATCTGCAACAAAATACATATTGAAACCAATATTATTAACGGCTCTTTACATTCAAGTAATACTGCAATAATATGTCAATTTATTTATTGTTAAAATTCTGGACAAATACTACTTTGTTTCAGTCAATCAACTTTACCATATCATGAAAAAATTTTCAGTCCATAATCCATTAAAAAAAATAATAAAATCACCCTTTTTTATATAAGCTATAAATTATCATCTCAAACAAAAACCCATTGAGTATTCCCAGAAGCTCAAATAACAGTAAAATATCTTCTGTAATAGCAGGTTCACATAAAGTTTAAAAACAAAACAACTTACATAGCAGCTAATTGAATCTTAAATTTGATAGAAGATGGATTGTATTCAGGTTTGCTCAGATTGTGTTCACATTCCTGTATGAATAAAACACACAGATAGAAAAAAAATACTTATATTAATTATAATTGCCAGCTTTTAGCAGATGAGAAACCTCTGAGCTTTAATAACATCAAGCTTTCAATGATAAAAGAATTTTTTATAAAATTAATGAAAAATAATTTATTCTTGCAAAGTTATTCTGAAAAGTCTTATAATGCAATCAATAAGAGTTCATCAGTGTACACAAAAAATCTATTCTTCTCATTGGATTTCTAACATTCTTAACATGACTTCACTCTCTTCAGAATTTATTTAAATATTATTCAACCATTTCTGGTGAAAATAAATTTGTTAAAGTCTTTAATGTATTAATCCAGTCTTATACTAACATTTTTGGCTAATCCTATTGTATTATACTGGATGAAAGGAAGACCATATCACATCAACAGCAACAGACTAGGTAAAAGTAGGTGATAAAGGTCAAACCTTATTTAACAAGGGTGGTTTTTAATCCAGGTTAATGTTGCTTTTGTTTTTGTTTTTCCGATTGCTAAATATTCAATACACTTCAGGGTTTAGTGTGCACCTGTTGGTTTTACTTAATCCATATCTGCCAACAAAAATTAATACTAATACTGTATTCGCCCAATTATAGGGCAATCTCAAATATAAGGTGGATGGTAGACATGAGTAGGAAAGAAAAAGAGTGACTCTGTCCATCTTTTCCTCTCCATCTTGAAAAAGACTGGACAAAAGCTACATGTGAAGATGAAGGCATGGCACATCATTGTGGAAGATGGACATCTGAGGTTGATGTAAGAGGAACCTCCAAAATGGAAGAGGTAGAAAGTTTTGGGTCATCAAAAAGCAAAAGAAGTAGAAACCATGGCTAAATTGACCAGAAGAGGGCAATTAGAAGAACCAGCCAAGAGCTACTGCAAAGAAGAAAAAGCATCCTGGGAAGGAATCAAAGAAAAGGACAGGCATACGAAAAGAAATTGGATCAACCTGAGTCACAGCATCCACCACTAGGGCAGCAGAGTCTGGGACTGGTGACGAAAAGGGTGGAGGCTTGATATTGAGAGAAGTTGCAAAGACAATGATGAGAGGACACCAAAAATAGGGAAAAATCCACTGAAACACCAAGAGGATGTAAGGACTATATTGTTGGAAGTATCCAATCCATGCGAGACAGCCAATCCATCACTAAGTACAAAGATCCAAGGACACAGCATGACAAGAACTGGATATTTAGAGTTAGAAAGCAGAGGTCCTGAGAAGCAAGTTCATCACTACTGACTGATGTACGAAATGACAGTGGAGTTGTATGAAAGGATCATGATAAGATATTCAGATAAACATGACAGACAATAGTGGCAAACCCATTGAGCTGCCAACATCTCAAGGACATTGATGTGCAGAGACTCGTACTCTAGAGACCAAATACTGGAAACAGCGAAGGTGTTCAGAATTGCACCCCACTTAGAGAGAGATGTCCATGAACATACAGAAATACAGGCAAAGCAAAGGAGTTAGTTCGTTGTTAAGCGCAAAGCTACACAATGGACTATCTGTGTTGTGCTCACCATGAGTATTAAAACCTGGTTCTAAGTGGTGTGAACTCTCAGACTTACTGCTGAGCCACTTGGGGCCAAGGCAGAGGAATACCCAGGGTCGTGTGGGAATGACAGTGAGAGGTGAAGATATAGAGGGAAAAAAATGACAGAAGTCAGTGGATATCTGGTCATATTCTACTAATCTGTTATCCGCTGTAGGGTACATAAAAGGGCCCTTCTCAAAAGTATAAGGGACTTGAGAGGGGCTAGAGTCTCCAAAAAGAGACTAAACCTCTAGGACAGGAAAGGAATGAGACATAACAGCTCTGGAAACAAGAAGCTCTATGTCTGGGAAATGTGAAGGAGAAGGTTGAGTTAATAAAGACCCCATATGAATCAGATATTGAGTGGGGATCAAATCTGATAGCATGACCTCCCCAACCCAAATGAGCAAACTTTTAAAGTAGAAGGGAGGTCAAAGCATAGAATGTTGTGCAGGACTGGACTAGGAAGTGTCAATCATCCATATAGTAATGAAAATACAGACCCAATGAGTGCATCCTCTACACAAAAGCTTTCCTGTCATGGTTGAAACACAGAACTGTAAGGAACTTGAAGAAAAGGGCCCTGAACTGAAAAATCAAATTGTTGCTTATGAAATGAAGGAAACAATAAGAACAGGATGAATCAGAATGTGGAGTAGAATATCTGAAAAATTGACCTTGGTCACCTACAACAGCTACCTCAGAGTGAGGAAACCTTCCATCTTTAACTGAGGGACGAGAAAAAACTGATTCAATAACAGTAGATCTATGATGGACTGCCAATCCCCCATCTACTTGGGAGCTACAAGAATACAGAGATTATAACTCTAACTCTGAAGAAGGAACAAGGACCTGTACTACTGCATTCACTGCTTTAAGAGAAGACAAACCCTTCTCAGGTGCTGAACATGCAAGGGATCTGAATAGGGTGGAAAGTGGATTGGAAAAGGATAAAGTAGAGGTTTGAAAGACAGGAAAAGTACCTGTGTGACCAAAGTTTATTCTGTAAAGGGAACCCACAGGTGAGCAAAGTGAAGAGCCAAGATCCCATACGACTGGAGCCAAGTAGTAACTCCAGAAGCAAGTCATCTTCAGGCTCCTTTATGACTGGTCTGTCAGGAAGGAAGCGGGGACCAGAAAGAGGCTACAGGATGAGAAGCAGGATAGGAAAGGCCTGACAAGGCTCATGAGAAACAGAAACCTGCTGGGTCCCCTGGAATTAGATAAGTGACAAACTACAGTGAGTAGAGACAACTGCTGATGTGCTGCTTCAGTTCTAGTTTCCAAAGTATACTTATCAAAAGAAGAGACCAAACTGTGTTCCCCGAGATATTAGTCAGGGAGTTGGACTCCACAAAGGAAGGCTTCCCTATGAATCAGATCCCTGAAATAAAGAAACCAAGTTAACTGGACAACTGTGGAAAAAGAAATTTAGGCCAGCATGAAGAACTGGTGAAAGTAACTTTCCCCAGTAAAACTGTCAGGGTTGCATTTCAGTCTCAGAAAAAAAGGACAGATAGCAAAGATGCTGTGCAAACAAAAGATAAAGATAAGCAGATTGAGGGCAAAAGAGATTCAAAGTAGCAAAAGAAGAAGGGAAGCTCTCCATGCTGGAAGAAGAAATTCAAGTACTAGGGCTCAAGGAAAAAAAATGGATCCCAACCATAAGCCAAGAACTAGGAGTCTTGAGGTAGGAAAGGATGAGGCAATTCAACTGCCTGAACACAAATTATCAGAGGTTTGAGGCTCATGCAGTGAGGTCACCCATGTAACAGCAAAAACAATTAAAGAAAGATAAAAAATATCACATACCTGAGATATCAGAGCAGTGAAGAATAAAGATGGGGTACCTGACACTCATCTGGGATAGAAAAACCAGAAGCAAATGTAGGTGGTGGGAAGAGTGGCTAAAATCATTAAAAGTCATGCCAGCCTCAGTAGAAGATACAGAAACAGAAGACTGTGAATTCTGGGTCTGAGACAGAGAATGTACGACAGAACCAACAACTTGTTGTACAATGCTAGTGACATTGCTCATCATAAGAATTTCCTAGTCACCAGTGAAGAAAAATAAGATGACTCCTGTTGAGGAGTGTCTGGACCTCAGGAGGTTTCAGATATGTGTATGCAAGAATTCATAGTCAATAAGATCCACAAAACTTGCAAAATGTTTTTATGGATACCTTTCTTTCAATTAAATGACTAAAAACTTAAGAAAGATACCAATTCTTATGAGAAAATTTAACTGAAACATTTCAATTTAAAATACATGCACAGTGTAAAAGATCCTTTGTTTGTTATTAAAAAAATTAACATGTCTAAAAAGTGCAGTGCTAGGAAAGAGAATGAGCTTCAATTTACACAATGTGCTAAAGGAGAGAACTACACGAGGATACTGTATTTCCCTACTATTGCTGGAGGGGTATAGTCAGATATTGTTTGCAACATAAACTTATTACTTGTAGAGTTGAGAGCTTTTTGAATGACCTGGTATGTACACAGAAACTTCTTGGCAGTAGCACTGCATTGCTAAATAATTGTTCTGTAGAGAGGTTAGTACCTTAGTCTAAAAAGTTGTTTTCACATATGCTAAGATCAAGAAATCAGAAATAAATAAATCATCCATGAAAAATTTTTACCTTGCAGCGCTGTGATCTTTTTACTAATAGATGCTTGTGTCGAGGGAAAAGCTGATCTGTGCAAGTTGGTTGAAATTCTGGTTGCATCAGTCTTTGGTTTATGTTACACACTGAATTAACACATGGAAAAATAAGCTATTTTGATTATTTGGGATTTATCAACAAAAGCAAATGTGTAGAATTACTTTCAGTTATTATGTTAAGTAAAAAACTAAAATGAATATTACTAACTTCAAATCTCCCTGCAAGACTGTTGAACATATTTAAACCTAACCAGGCATTCTTAAAAACTGATATATGTTTGTATCTCCAGAAATAAGTTGTAACTTAGTTTCTACATACAACATTACATTATACATGTATAACCACTTTTTAACATGCCCATTCTAACTAAACACTATGAATAAACTAAAAGAAAGCATACACATACATACATATATTAAACTTTTGTAATCAGAGTTCATCTTTTCAGAAAGAGAAAATATTCAAATGTTAAATATAAACCAAATGGAATAGTAGGAATAGAATTTTTTGAGGGGGGTATTCTTTTAGCTATATCCCCCCCCCAAAAAAACAACAACAAAATCCTGGTTGTTGTTTTAACAATATATACATGTAAATCCAAGTTAATTTCATATGAACCATAATAACGTTTCTTACATACTGTTGGTTTACATCTGCAAACAATATAAAATATATAACGTTGTTCAAACCAGAATAATCCACAGACCTAATTGTTATTTTGGTTTACATTATCTTTTTTGACTGTAATATTTAATGAAGAGGATTAAAATATACATCAAGTACAAGCAGTGATAACTATTGAAACTGACAGAAATGTACCAACATACCCTTTGCCAGATTAACTGGCTGAGTAAGGTATTCTTCAGGTAAAGGATCAACGTTTTCAAATGCTTCAGCTGGCATAAGCTCTTCAGATTCTTTTGATTCTTCATCCTTAGAGCTATATTTTAAACAGAACATAACCTTTATGCAATGTATTAAAAATTTAGACTTGCATGCATGCAAGCTTTATATATATAAAATTTAAGACATTACTTTGTTTTGCAATGTAAGTCCCACTAAAGACCTCTGCAATCTTTCTCAAAGACAATTTGCTCCAATAATATGAGAGTATAGAAGCTCCATACTTAAAGCTTTAAAGATAATTCTTTGAGTGAAAGAGCAGCATTTCAGCATAAATTGTATTAATTAAATATAAGGGTTGTTTAATATATTTAGATTTCTGTAATTAACAAAGCCTACCTTAGAACTGAATTTCTGTTTTGCAAGACGTTAGTTCTTGATAATGTCCAAAATGAAGCTGAACTTCAGCTCATTATTCTGTTACATTTATCAATGGTTTTCTTTGAAAATGATTTCACATCCTTTATCAATCAAAGATAATTTTATAACAAAAACAGCTTTCAAACACAATCTACATTAACTTACCTAACAACTTTATACATACTTTTAATGGTGTAGCTTTATGTCTAATATTAAAGTATGATTTTTTTTTATATACAAAAATTTTAATCATATGTATTAATGCAATCAAAAACAGCTTACCCTGGGGCTACTCTTTTACCAACGAATAGTGGGATTGACCGTCACATTATAACGCCCCCACGACTGAAAGGGCGAGCATGTTTGGTGTGACGGGGATTCTAATCCGCGAC